GTTTTGTTTTTTTTAAAAGAGTGATTTGTAGTTTTCTTTGCACAAGTCTTTTGTTTCTCTGGTTATGTTTATCTCTAAGTATTTAATCTTTTGAATGGCTCTTATAAATGTTACTGTTTTCTTGATTTCCTTTTTAGAGCTTTCATCCCCAATATAGAGAGATCCAGTTGACTTTTGTATGTTGATTGTGTACCCTGTTGCACTGCTGAATCTTTCAATGATTTCCAAGAGTTTTGTTGTTAAGTCTCTTTGGAGTTTTCTGCAAATAGGTGTTGATTTTTGCCACTGTTTTCTCTGCATCTATTGAAATGAATGTATGGTTTTTCTCCTTTGTTGTAATACTGTTTGATTTTATAATGCAAAAACAACCATGGATTCCTGGGATGAACTTTATGGTCATGTTATATTCATATTTTAGACATTACATATTATTACTTAATTTATTAAAATTAATGTATTGAATATTAAATTGTAATATTAATATTTCCAACTAACCAATCCCTGAGTACAAGGTGGATACATACTCAGCAGTTAGACTAAGAGCACAGATACTGGGTTCTGGATGTTATTGAATAATACAGGGATGGAAGTTTTATGTATTACTATTACCTAGCAATAGGCGTATTCCATCTGTATACTGAGAAAATATTCAGAGCAGCTGGATTTAAGAAGAATGTGGCACCAGGATTGGAGGAAGGCTTATTAACAACATGGCATATGCACATGATACCAATTTGCTTGCTTGAAATGAGGAGGACCTGAAGCACTTGCTGATGAAGACCAAGGATTGCTGCCTGCAGTATGGGGTACACTCAATGTACAGAAGACAGAAATCCTCACAAATGCACCCGTGGGTATCATCATGATAAATGGAGAAAAGGTTGAAGTTGTCAAGGATTTTTGTCTTGCTTGTATTCAATGCTCATGGAAGCAGCAACAAAAGACACATCGAGTTAGGTAAATCTGCTGCACAAGACTTCATTAAAGTACTGAAAAGCAAAGATATTACTTTGAGGGGTAAGGCGTGCCTGACCCAAGCTAAGGTATCTCCAATTGCTTCATATGCATATGAAAGTGGAACACTGAATAAAGACGGGAAGAAAATCGATGCATTTGAATTGTGCTATTAGAGAAGAATAAAGAAAGTACCATGGACTGCTAAAAGGACAAACAGATCTGTCTTGAAAGAAATATGGCTAGAGTGCTCCTTAGAGGCAAGGATGGTGAGACTCTGTCTTACATACTTAGGTCATGTGGTCAGGAGAGACCAGTCCCTGGAGAAGGACATCATGTTTGGTACAGTGGAGGGGCAGAGGAAAAGAGGAAGACCCTCCATGAGATGGATTGACACTGTGGCAGCAACAAAGGGCTCAAGCACAGAAGCAATTGTGGACAATGGTGAGGATGCTGCAGGACTGGACAGTGTTCCGTTCTGCTGTGCATACTGTCGATTTGGGTTGGAACTGACTCAATGACACCTAGCAACAACAGCAATGAACTCATCACACAGTTGGTGCTAAGTAAAAATCAATGTAAGAAGTCTCCACAAGTTTTCATATTCCAGCTACAACACTGTGGGTCCCGTGCTGTGTTGCCCAGGATGTACCCTCAGGAGCCAGCTTGTTTTTCCACGGTTGCTGGTAACTCAAACTCGAACCCACTCTGGGACTATCGTCTCTCACCTAGGGAAGCAGCAGGCCCAGGTGTGGCCTGTATGCAATGACTGGCTTAAATGTGGGTTTACAGTGGGTTGTGCTAACTATAAGGTCAACAGTTCATATCCACCCAGAGGAGAAAAGGCAAGGTTTTCTGCTCCCACAAAGATTCACAGCCTCAGAAGCGACACGGGAAGTTCTACTCTGTCCCGTAGGATCAGTAAGAGTCAGAAGTCACTGGATGGCAGTGGATTTTTTGGGTTTGCTTTGCTGGGGTTTACGGAGTCCTGGTGGCACTGTGGGTCAGCCCATTTGCTTCAGATCTTGACTGACAGCTAACTACAAGATCAGCGGTTCAAACTCACCAGCAGGTCTGTGTGGGACAGCTGAAGCTGTCTGTTCCTGTTAAGTCTCAAGAACTTTATAAGGGTTGCTGAGACCAATTAACTCTATGTCAGTGGATTTGGGGTTTGGGGGTTGCTTTCACTTAGAACAACGTTGCCGGGCCATCTGAGGCTCAGATCATCCCGTGTGATCACAGCTGCCATGCACCGAACCACTGTGCCACCAGGGCTCCTCACAGAACCAACCAAAGCCAAACCCCTTGTCGTGCAGTTGATTGTGGCTCCTACCACCCTACAGAATAGAGTAGGGCTAGCCTGTTGGGTTTCCATGACTCAATCTTTCGGAAAGCAGACTGCCACATCTTTCTCCCGGAGAGCAGCTGCGGGTTCTCCAAGGGCCAGATTCCATGCTCGGTGCTGGGCTCGCCGCAGGGCCTTCAGGCTGCGGGTCTGGCTTGACCCCGCCCCTCTCGGCACGCTCCCAGGTCAAGACCGGGGGCGGTGCCGGCGTCGGAGCCCGCGGCGGAATGAGACGGCCGGCGGTGCGCCTGGTGCGGCTGGGCCGGGTGCCG